CGCGTCCTCCAGGGGAAAAATATTATGCGGCTCTTGGAGTGGGACTGGTAACGGGGATAGTACCCAAATTTCTCAAAAACAAAAGGTGGTCCAGTATGGTTTCTGGACCACCTTTTGCGGAAGAAACCTTAACACCGATCAATATAATGGAACATCCTTTTGGGTTATACATGATCTCCTTTGTTGAAGTTTTCTGGACAATGAACAAAATTTTACCTCAACAGGACTCCGAGCAAATTCGAGCTTTGAGAATTCATTCACGACATAGGCCAGATTTCATTTAAATCGCTATGCGTAACCGATTTTGCTCGTTTTTTTTGAATTATCTATAAAAATAAGTCTCCGTGCACCTAAATTTCGGGGTGATCGGTGTGGATGCGATTGCGCATTTCGTTATATTCGAAATAGTCTTGCACATGGTACAGTCGACGACAACTGTCTTCACTTCATTCTTTGCTCTGCTGATTTTTGTATTTTTCATCTGTTGCTTTTCAGCTGAAGGAAGTGATAGCACGCGGCCGTCCCAACCCTCAAGCCTTCCTTTGCGTGTCCAAGAGATGGAAGAACAGCGCAAAAAGGACGAAAAGGAAGGGAAGATAAGCGATGAGTCCTGAAGTTCTTTCTACACCCGTTGATGTGACTTGGTTCATGTGGAATATTTTGCTCTTATTTCTCGTTATTCTGTAAATATGCAGAGATTTGAAGTGAATGCTTAGAGATTTATTAGATGTTAGGAGTTATGATTCAAGAAATTGTATAGGTTTTACCACGAACAAGTTGTTGAATTTCGAAGTTATTTTTAGCTTTGAAAACTGTTTTTGTTCATAAAGCCATATTGGTGTCATCAGTTGCTAAAAGGCGTGCTGCTTGGGTGTAAATCCCTAAATATTTTGAACTATTGATTTTCGTTTTTTTCGTCTATTTTCAGTACCACATTGAAGGTGATCGTCAGTATTTGTAGATTATGTCTTCCGCCATCACCATTACAAAGAAAGAAACTGCTAAGGAGAAGGTCAGAATTAACAAGTCAAAATCTTGAAACAATCCTCTTTGTTAGAGTGGGTAGGAAGTGAGTATTGCTAATCCAACTTATTTAGGTGAAGAAAGCAATAGATGATGAGGAATTCGAAGAATTTCCAGTGCAAGTAAGATTTCATACTTTCTATGTTCAGAAGAAAGTCTATAATCCATTTGAATCATTCAGGAATGGGCAGAGAAGGCTGAAGATGGAGACGATGATGAAGTAAATGTATGGGAAGATAACTGGGATGATGAAACTCATGAAAGTGATTTTTCTAAACAGCTTAAGTAAGTCGGTTCTTTCTTTTCAGGCATTTAGGCTTTAATAGAGCATATTTCTGATTTCCCTGTTTTAGGGAAGAGCTATCGAAAAGTGGTCAAATCGCCTCGTGAATTTGTTGAAACTGTTAAGAACTGTTCGCGTGTCTGTATTTCCTTGTAATGTATTTGCTAACGTGATAAAAGCCTCGAAATTATGTAACAGTACAGAGGAAGTTATAGTACAAACCATAAACCAAAGCATTTGGTTTATGGCGATAATTTATTACTACTTTTCACGTTCTCAAGCGAGCTTCTGAACGAGTTTCTCATCCTATGTATATTATAGTTTTCTATGAACATTGCGGT